ACTTCACCTGCTGACAGCTGCGTGTCTCCCCAGTGAAATATAATACATTCATACCCTACCATTCAAACAGTAAATGTATTTCAACCAGAAATTGTTTCCTTATTTCCTCCTAAACCATTTTTTTCCTTGTCCAAATGACCATTTCAAACAAAATTACATTTTTCACATCTAAAATTAACATTCTGGATGTCTAGAAATTAATTTCAAAACTTCATTTTCCTAATATTGCTGGTCATAATTTGTATAAATTTGAATATGAAGATATGTATTTAAGATGGCTGATAAATGTCAAAATTACCACTTAGAATATGTAAACATTTCTAAATATATAAAACTTACCTCTAACTGGTACAATTACATTTTTTTTACCGTACTTTCTGAAATTCACTTGCTGCTGGAAAAAAATGTAATTTAGAAAATCTATTATTACATTTCGGACTAGGAATGAGATTTGGAGGAAGAATCCTATTTTAGTGATCTAGAAATGATACAACAGATATGAGAGCATTTTTAATAAATGTTGAAACGGCCTGCCATAGTTGGACATAACATAAACTAGGCCTTAATTCAAGCAGCAATCTTCTTCACCACCTCCCTCTCCTTCACAGTAGTGCTGTTGCTCAGTCTTTTCATTTCTGCATTAAAGTCTCTAGTTGCAGTGATGTAAAATAGGCACTTCCTGTTGCCCGTTGTCATGGTGACTCCTTTAATCTGGGCTCCACTAATTATACCTTTTTCATTCTTGTTATGCACATGCTCAACACTGAGTGTACTATCATATATTTCAATGCAGGGATCCTTCCCTCTGGCAGCCCCAGCCATGAAAACCTTGCAGCTGAGTTGATTCCCATTGAAATCAGGTAGTTTTACATTTTCAGTATTTTCTTTATATTCTCTTTGTTTTAATTTGTCTTAGTAATAACTTTCATAATCATGTAGAGAGAAGTTCTTCAGACTTCAGCATGAGAACAAGATGTTGCGGGTGCAGCAGGAGGAATATGAACAGGAGAGGATCGCCACCCTGCAGGTTCAGCTGAGAGAAGCTGAGAAGACTCACAGTAAACTGGACACAGAGAACAGGCAGGTGTCATGGTTTGTTTGTGCTTGTGAGGATCCTCTTTCCGAGTCACTGAGGGTTTCTTTCATCTCTGCTTCCTCTCCAGACTGAGCCGGGAGCGAATCAGTGAGCTGCAGCAGCAGGTGGAGGACCTCCAGAGGGCGCTGCAGAGTCAGGCTGCCAAACCAGATGATGTAAGTGTGTCGCCGCCATGTGGCGGTATTGTACTGAACGATGAACATAGTTAAATATTACCCAGGTTAATAATTTCTGTTGAAGGGGAAAATAGTGGAATATTAGAAAAATATTTTATTTTAATTCTTGGTGGATCTTCCAGTAGCTCACTCATACATACTTAGCTATTTATTTAATGGCTCAATTACCCATCTCAGTAGTTACTGATTTATGCTGTAACTTTATAACATTGCGGGTGATTTAATTATTTACACTTATACTGACTTTGTAATAGCTTATTTATTGTTTATTCCCATCTGTAATTACTTGCATACTTTGTTACCTACTTACTAACTATTTACTTACTTATTTAAAGTATCATGCCTGTTTTTGCTTCAAAGTCTAATTACATACAGTAGTAGCGGTTTAAAAGTTTGGCTAAAAGCCAAAAAGCCTCCGGTTTCCAGCCAAGTTCAGCCAAGCATAAAAGTCAGCCAATGAAGGTCTCATCGTGGCTACTGCTGTACTTGTTGGCGTTTCTAATAACTTACTTATATATTTAGTTTCTTTCAAAATAAGTTTTGTAAGTACTTCCTTTAATTATTGCATTAGTCCCACGTGACACATGGTTTGGAGAAAGAACTTGGTTTTCAGTCAGCAGAAGGGGTGTAATGATTTATTTTAACGATTCGATTCGTGGACGATTGTGCTTCATTTAGAACGATCGATTTCATTCAGTGACTTGAAATCAATCAGTAAATCTTAATTCAGAAATGTAAATAATGTGACTTAATACCTGCATACTGGAAATCTTCTAGATTTTTGTTGTTTCTTTTAGGGGAAATAGAGGATAAATGAAATAAACATGGGCATAAACAAACCTGTAGTAAAATACTGCATTTAATTTTGAGCTCAACCAACAATAATAGGAAGTTAACCTTTGTAGTATTATTTTCAATAATTAAGGATAAAAAAAAAAATGAATGTGCACTAAATATGCTATATATATTTAACCACTGCTTTTTGTCATCATGAAAATATTACAAATTAAATAGAACATTCATGTAAAATGATAAATGCAACTGACACGGCTTCAGGTTAATTGAGCAGTGGCTGAATCTACTGTTGCTGTCATTGTAATAAAGAAACAGCAGAGCACCAGTAACCAAATACTAACAAATTACTTTTTTTTTTTCTACAACACATCAGCTGATCCACATGATCTGGCTGCAGTTCTATGCATATAAACTGATCATGTATATCTCTCCAGCTGAGTTTTTGCAGTCTCTAACAGGACATGATGGTGAGGCCTCTGCAGAGCTAACGGTCAGTTAGCCATACCTTGATGCT